ATGGGTTTCTTCTAGGTCGCCTTTTCCTTCTGGGATTCACAGCCAAGGTTCAGGTCTGGCAGATGTTTGTGCAAACTCGGTAGAAAACAACGGTCCGTTTTCACCAGGGCCGGCTTGTAACCGTCACCTCCACGGTTACATACCGCACGGGATGAGTATTATTATCGGTATGATTAATGTGCTGACCGCTGCACCTATGGGATGGGCTTTCAGCCCAACCGAGCGGGCAAGATATCCTTGTCGTCGTGCGCATCCTAAAGTCAGAGGTTGTCTTTGCTGCGGCTCGCTTTCGGCAGGATTTCTCACCTAGATTTTTGCTCGAGTGGTTGCAAGACGTTCCAGTGACGCACGCTGCTCCCTTTGCTCCTTCTTTCCCGACCAACAAGTGTGTTGGCAGCAGAAACTGGTGTTTTGCTGCAATCTAGTGGTGTGGCACGTGGAACGGGTTCATGGTGTTCAGGCTGAAGATGGGCTCCCAGGCAGGTTTTCCCAGGCTCGGCTGGGCTGAGAGCCTGACTTCTGCGGGAGCCAAGAGATACTTTTGTAGGCGTGCTCTGCCCTCGCAATTCCTTCAGTCCGATGAGAGAAAACAAAAGCAACGTACATTATTCTTCATATTAAGCAAGAGAGAAGATGGGTACTGCACAAAGATACCTGACGCAGAAAGGTGTTTCAGGTTTTTTTAACCTTTTAAATTTACCATCTGGAGAGTGCTGGAAATCTTTAGATTTTATGATGGGGCAACATTACTGTCTTCTTGCCTGATAAGAAGCTGATTCATTAGAAATTAAGGTGCTATAAGCACAGGCACGCTGGCTTAGTCTTTTCTAGCTGAGCAAGCTCTGAATCCTCGGGCAGTAAATAAGTAAATGGAGGCACCCAGTGCCCCTGAAGTCAGAAGTGCTCGCAAGGTGTGATTAGAGAGAGATGGAGTTGTGCAAGGGAAAGGTAAAAAGTTTGGGGTTTTTTTCTTTTTTTTTTTTCTTTTTTTCTTCCCCCCCCCCCCCTCCTTCACTTCCTCTCAAGCCCTCCTTGGGCTGCTGAGGAGCTATAAGTGAATGACATAATTCAGCTTCCCCTTGAAAACATCATCTTTGTTTTTATCTTTTTCCCACCCCCTCATGCAAAACAGGAGGCAAGTGCTGGGGAGCACAGGATGCAACGCAAACCTGCCTGGCCCCCAGAGGTGATGTTTGCAGGGGAAAGGGAGGGAAAATGCTGGGCAAAGCTGCCTGGACTCTTGTATCTGTGATCATGAAATCTGTCTGGGAAGAGCAGTCCCAGAGCAAAGCTTTGTTCGCATTGAGCTGCTCAATGTTTCATGGTGATAGCGGGAATGCCTGGAGCTGGGCAACAGGTCTGGATCCCCGGGTGGCTGCCTGGGTGCTGCAGGCTTTGCTCTCGGCTGTGCCAGCGCTCGTGGGCACCTCTAGGGACTGACAGCACTCCCGGGACCCCAGAGGCAGCTCCCCGCCACCAGCACCCCGCCACCAGCACCCCGCCGGGCCGTTCCCCCGAGCAGCACCGGAGCTATGAGCCTGGGGCTGCAAACCATGCAGGGGAATTTAGTCCCAGGTAAAGACGGGGGTATTAGAGGCAATTTTTAGGGAAAAAAAAAAAAACAACAAAATAAAACAAACCTGCTTTGGGACGTTTTGCAAAGATTTTTTTAGGGCAAGTTCAGCTGCTGTCCCTGCTGCTCCCAGAACAGGAATTTCAGTATTTCATTGTGACCTACCTGATGGCATCTTGAGATTTCACCGGCCTCTGCTTTGGGGCAGGTGCAGTCTCGATTGTCACAAGCAGGCAAAGAAAGGTGTTGTTTTTTTTGTTTGTTGGTTGTTTTTTTTTTTTTTTCTAGATCTAAAAGTCGAAGGAAACCTTTCCCGCAACGAAGGCTGGAGCGTGCCTGGCTGACACAAGTCAGTCTCTCCGTGGGGTGCAGAGCACTCGCCTAGCCACCTGCAATTCTTTCCCTTCACTTCTGTGCCTGCCATATGCACAGAGAAGAAACCTTTATCCCAGCGCCAAGGAGCTCATCCTCTTTGATGAACGTTCGTAGGGAAATAAAACAGCGGCTCTCCCAGTTTGCTGCCATCCACCTGCAGATTCCCCCAGTCTGCCGAGACGGGCAGGCGAGGTTTGCAACAACCGTGACTGTGGATTTTGTGAGCTGGGTTTTGTGCACGCTAAAAATAATCGTGGTTAGGAGGAAAAAAAACCATCGCTTTGGTGTAGCAGCAGATGGCAGCACCGCATTACGGACGGCTGGGGCGGGCGGATGGAGGGCTCCAGCCTGGCCCGACAGTCCTGGGCACCCACCACCCACCGCAGCCTTACGGCGGGTTTGGCAGCGGTGGGAGGGTTTTTTGCATCCTTCTGCAGTTGCAGAGCGCTGGTATTGCTGGCAAGGGGGATCTGCGGCCTCTGGAGCTGGATGCTCATGAGCTGGAGGATCCCTCCTTCCCCTTTTTAAATTGGCTCCGAAGGAATAGGAATCTGGGCTGCATTGCATGCTTGCGGTGGCTTAGCGAAGGTCAAGATAAGTGTATTTAAACGCCAGTCCGGGTTTTAAATCCTCGGCGTCAATTCTGGATAAAACTACAGGTGCATTAATGAGGCAAGACACCTCTGCCAGTGCTCCTGCAGCTACAGATGGGAAGGGCTTCGTGTCCTGTGCGCTCAACTAGGGAAGCCCAGACTGGCCGAAGCCGCGCGATGATTTATGTCCTAGGGGCAAGTGAAGCTGCTGCTCCATTAAAACAAAGTGCCTGGGATGTGCATCCATCACCAGCCTTCCCTGAAAGGCTCGGGTGTCATAGCAGGGTGCCCACAAATCCATCTTTCCAAGTGCAAATGCTTTAAGGCTGATCGATACTTTTTTTTTTCAAAGAGATTGGTTGGAGGAGAGGAACTCATCTAATTTCTCCTCATTACCCTTTCCCTGGTTAACCATGTTAATTAGATTGCAGTGGATCTCTAGGGAGAAAGCAAAGGAAGGGACAAGGGTCTTGAGGGAGGACAAATATCCCAAGTGGATCTGGGATGGAATCAGAGCCAAGGAGGGAGCAGTCAGCCCCTTGCCCCCCCCTGGCTGGGCTCTGCCCCATGGAAAGTTCCGGCTCAACAACCAGTGCACATACGTGTCTCTGTTGGTATGGGATGTCCTCCTAGTCCAACCCTGTGCTCGCTGGGAAACACCACACACCTAGGCCTAGATTCATGCTAATTTTTGCCAATGGTTTGCAACAAACTGTTGCTCTTGACTATTCGATCCTTGCTGCACCAGCTTGGGTTGCCCCTAGACAGAGATGCAGGCTAGGAGACGTGTCTCGGTTTCATTTCCCCCACAAGCCTGAACAATCAGAACTCCACTCGCCATTTCTTCCAGTACATCTCGCAGAAGTAGCTACAACGAAGAGCAAGCAAATTTTTGTTCATACCACAGATCAGCACTGTATATTGCAAACCGATATTTGTGTGATGCAGGTGGGCAGTGTCCTCCTCCAGGTGGGATTCTCTGCAAAGAGACTTCCAAAAGCTGGAAGGGATGTTCCAGTTCCATCCCAGCAGGCTGTTTTGCAGCCAACACCGCTAACAGGAGAGGAAGGACTGTCAGGAACAAGGAGAAGTGAATTTTGCAAGGTCCTGGGCAGCTCAGGAAGGGCAGCGTGCCCTCCGACCCCTCTGGAGTTGGTGCCTTGGGGGAGAGCACTCAGCACTATTTAAGAGGGAGCTCTTGAGTGACTTCCAGCCATCCAGCCGAGCATCCAGATCCCTGCAGACACGGCAAAGCCTGACGGAACCTCATGTTACCAAAGGTGCTGAGCAGCCGCAGGGGGAGGGAGGCAAGCCTGTGCCTCAGGGACATTAACAGCGAAAGGCCGCAGCTTTTAGACACTGGGTTTCCTCCTACTTTGCTCCTGATCCCTCTTTGCTCCCGTGTACGGTTCGGCTTTTGCCCGTGCTCTCACCAGCACCCTGGCAGTTGGGGATGGGTGGCTGGAGCTCCGTTCAGCACTGGGTTTTGTACTGTCTCAGTTATTCTTAATTAATTTATCTTCCTTGGTTTCTAACAGCTGGGCTGTTGCTGTCCTGCTGCACCTGCTCTCTGAATCCGGTTTTGTGTTACTGCGTCTATTACCCAACAGAAAAAACTTCACTCGGCAGCTTCTTCGCCAGTTCCTGCAAGGGAGGTTTTCTCTGGTGGCCCAGCAGACCCTGCAGGACACACATCTGACTTCAGACACGTGAATTCTTCACTGACTTTCATGGGATGGTAACACATGTAAATGCAAATGTCGGTTTTGGGCTAAGCTAGTGGAACCTCAAAACATTTTTTTTTGGTGATAAACCCCCCAAAAGGCTTGAATATATGATGTGTGTGTCAGCACGTTCAGCGTATGTTGTCAAGGAGATGTGTTACATCAATCAGGGTCAGCGTGCTGTTTCTAGAGAAAGTGGCTGCGTTAAAAGTTTCGCAACCTCAGCAGATTATTTGTAACGTAGTAAAAACGTATGGTGAGGGGAGCGGCAAATCTCCCTGCGAGTGTTTCCTAGATGAGGGAGGCTTTAATTAAACTGACATTTCTGATAACCAAGTCACTGAAGAGATGTCTGGGCTGTGATGCTACCAGAAGCCTCTGCTGGGTCACTCGGCGGGGGACAGTGCCCGACTGCAGAGAGCCACCAGCTGCCACCGTGCCCAGGGCCAAGCTGGAACACTTCTGCTCCTCCTCACAGCACCCCGAGTGGCAGAGACACCCCCTCACCCCCCCAGGGGTGACCTGGAGGGGGAGGATGGCACGAAACGTGCTGTAACCCGGGGCTCCTCCGCAGCTCTTCACCCCGGGGACTCCCAGCGCTCAGAAAAAGCCTTGTCCTTCCCTGCCTGAAAAAAAAAAAAAAAAAAAAAAAAAAAAAAAAAAAAAAA